GTACTGCATGGCATCGGGCAAAACGTTGCCATTACTGGTTTTAATCATTGGCCCTTGAATCTTACTCGCCGGTGTGCAGTTTCTCTGTTAGAAGTTAAACATCATGGCTACAGTGCTGCACGAAACTGTTTAAGAATGGATGGAATACAGGAGCTTCAGAAAATGTGTATTCCGTATTCCGCAGCGGACACCTGCCAAGTTATTCTTTGTTGCCGACAGCGCCATTTTCCTGAAAGTAACGACAACCTCATCAAGTTATGAAAATCCAGGCCAGTGATGTAAGCGGCGACTTCGACTACAGTGGCGAGTCCTGAAACTCCGTAAACATGCTGAAGAGGTGGAATATTGGAGTAACGACAGGGCACAGCTTTGCAGAAATCGGTTTAACAACTCAACAAACATTTCAATTTGTGTCATTCTACGAATAAATGATAATGCTACTATACACCTGGCAATTAATGCCAAAATTCACGCATTCCATGACGTGCGAACATAGAGCATTATGTCGAAACATTTTATAAAAGTTTATTTTGTGTAAAATACTTCGTTCTGTTAACTTCTGAAAATCAGAAGACCTATTAGCTTCATTAAAGTTTATCACCACCAGTGGCTGGTATGATTACCACCTTATAAAGTAATTAAAATTTGCCGCGTACAAAGTGAAACACTTCATATCTAGCGTCCATGTTAAGGCTAGTCTTGGACTATCAACGGAGCTAACTCTGTGACAATGGTAAGCATGAAAAATTCTTTCTTTTAGAAAGACTGTGGCATCAAACGCATATCCGATGTAAATCGCACTTGTTGTAATCCGACCTTCTCCAATGCACAACGCAAGTACAATGGATGACTGAAAATGGGCATTTGGTAGGCCGAGTTCACACAGTTTCATCCTCGGTTCACAACACCAGGCTTTCGCAAATTGGGAAAAATGGCCGAAATCCGTCGCGGGAAAGTTAGCAACGCGAGCGGTGATTCTTTTGATCGGAATATTACGGGATTTCGTGTGCGAATTTCAGACGGAATAACAACGCATAAAATTTTTAATTAAAAACATTACAGTAGGTACTGACCTTTTGGACAAAGTTCGGTCTGTGTTCAGAGCAACCATATCATCTGCATAGCCTCGATTTCATGCAGGTTAGGTCGATGCATGTACTTAAGGGGACCGCTTTTGTTGTTCGTCCTTAGGTAGCATTTGATGTATGTCTTCAGTCCGTGTGTCATTGAAATCTGAGCAAGGTCACGTCGAATGCTGCTGGTTACGCGGATCAGCCCCACTTCCTTGATTTTACGAAATCTTTCATCTCGTCCGAAGATATTGTATGTTGATGGATTACGGCACGTTATACTCTTGATGACTTTGTCTGACATTCCGCTCTGATAACCTCGGGATGCCTTGTTTGTTTCCTTCCTCACCCTGTTTTTGATCTTTCTCTTACAACGGCGGTGTTTCTCAAATGAGGTTCTTTTCATCTGTGGTCTTTCTTTGTTCTAACGTATTGCCCGTTTCACTTATGTACACCTAAACCACATGAGCAGGGAAGCTTGTGCTCCCAAACTTGTTTCTACTCCTTCGGTATCCTGGTCTTCAGGTACCTAAGAAGCACCGTGTCAGGTTGAGACACATTGCTGACACCCGTTTTTGACGCAATACGTCGTAAGTTTTCGCTCAGCCTATGAACATATTGCAAGAGGATGTAAATCGTACCGTCACCTGAGTAGTGAGGGTGAGTTTTCTTGATTGGTTTGTTAGAAGTTTACTGAACAACTTTACTGGGTAAATGTGGTTCAGTTTTTCGGGGAAATCATCTTCTGTGGTGCAGACCTTAAGTCATTATTGAAAAAGCGTATTGACAAATACTTTATCTAACGCTCTCAGCATGGCAGGAAGAGTAATACAGACACCGATCCGTGCTTTCTTGCGATGCACAGGGTTACTGGACACAGTACGGTAGTCGAACAGTGTGAGAACAGCTTCCATATGATCATTTCAGTTGTATGAATCACTCGATTAATTACAGCAGTTGCAGCATAAATTCTTCTTGAAAACGAATTTCACAATGGTTATCGAATTCATGGCACCTGAAGATATAGAAATAGGTCAGTTGCCGGGCTTTTCGGTTGGGTTTCTTTCGTACTGAGCGGACTTTAACTGTTTATCAGGCAGCTTGAGTCACATCTTCGCTGAAGCAACGACGCAACTAGCATGAGAAGTGAACCTCAAAGGTTATCCGAGTTGCCTGCAATGCATGTTTTAAAGGAGAAAGTAATCTAAGCAGATGAATAGTAAACCACTGTATTCAACCGACGCCAGAGAATCACCGAAAACTTCAAGTCCTTGGATGATTAAGGGCATTTTGATGGGTGGTTAATCCGTAAGTATCCTTCCTTATATCTTGTGATCCGTCCTCCTGCTTTAAAATAATTTTGTGAACAGCTTCATTTCACTGTACATGTCATCGGTTGTTTCCTTCTTTAAGCGTCCGCTTAATTTCAACAAAGTCTTCTGTCGTCTTGATGTTTATGGGAGTAGTTGCCTGATCACAGCGACGATGAACATTATCGATGTAAACTTTCTTTATTAAAATAATCACATTCAGACTTACCGAAGTTATGACTTTCGCAAATAATCTTACAACAGCTATAGAAAATTCTGAGTTCTATTCGAGTTATAAAAATTTTATTTGAATAAGTTTGTAATTTTAATAGCGATCGTCTGTAAGACAAACAGCTCACACAGCATACCCGGGCTTCCTTGGCTTTGCTTACTGCTGATTATGAACGCACAGTCCAGTTGTATTCATACACTTTAATAACATTTAATGGTAAGTGAAGTTACTTTCAGAAAAAGGAATATAAGTGCCAAAAATGAATTTGAATGAAAATGAATGAATTCTAGCGCAAACCCCCAAAACTGATTTAGAGATGAGAATAAAACTCAAAAGACCTGAAGGTGGACAAAGAATAACAGAAATAAGATGTCACACTGGTGTCTCGCACCATCAAGCGATGATGTTAAAGCCGCCCGTTTAAAGCAACATCTGGAAGTACCTGCTTCATTTGCCACCGTTCATTTAAGTCCTGATAATTTCATAAGGTCAAATAGAACTTAACGTTCATATTTCTCTAACTATTTACATTGCATGTAAAAACTCCTCCGGATTTACACGGCGGCGCATGGTCCCTTTGCTTCTAGCAGCCTAACGGACTGTTTAAGCAGGCCACATGGTAATTTAGGACCTGCTGTGCATGGAGGCAACAGGACACCGCGTTGTTGGGCCAAACACCAACGAATATACCTTATTCCGTATGCACATATAACAAAAATAAACCGCTGTTATGGATTTGCTAGCAAACTGCTAGTTTTCAAAACCGGCTGTAAGAATAAGTAGTGCCGTTTTGCACCCCTGCACTACTAAAGTATCATGGACGGTCTGCTTAAGCGTCTCACAGCAATCAGAAGCCAGGAGACGGCGTGAGAGGATTGATAGGAGAATTTTGCAGTTACAGCCGGGATGCTAAGCTAACTGTTAACTGATAAATCCATAACAGCACAGGTTTTATTCTTGTGCATATTGTTCCCCATAAATAATTACATACATGTACCACCTGTGAACGAAACCTTAACAGCAATATCCTGCAAAACACTTTAATGTACTATTGCATAAACGCATGCAGTAGTGTGAGTCAAAGCCACATGAACAAAGGCTTGCAGAACGTAACTCTTCCATTAAGTTCCAGTCTATCTGTACTTTGCTCGAAACAACAAATTCTAGGAACGCTGTTTTGTGGAAGCAAATACACGAATGCCGGATAATGCAAAGTGATTTGTTGGCAGCAACGTATTGCATATGCATTGAAACGATGCCAGATGCTCAAATATAAAAGGACATGGCTTGCTTAAGCGGTTTCCGTAGCAAGAGAACCCTTCAACGAGAAGGGGATAGCGCCATAGGATACGAAACGTGGTTTTGGAAAACCGATTCGTCTGTTAATCTTACCGTTGTTCGTCTGGAATAACATACCAGGACGTCACATGGTTCTACGTATAATGAGATTCATCGCACGCATCATATATTTCGCTGAAAAAGTAAACGATAAAAGCGAAACACCAGAATAGAAAAATATACTTTTCGGAACTTTCGCGAAACATATCTCATAAATTACTATTCATCAGCCATTTTTACACGTACATATCGATATTCCTCCCGTCACAAACAACAGTCGAACATTACAAATCAGCACAAATGTGTTAGCAGCGACATCCTTGGCGTTCGATCAACCAACTTTGCGCATTTCTTCTGTAAAAAGTGCAAAAAACGATTAGCAGCAAAGAAACCGACCAACTAATCGATAAGCAGCGGAAACAGAAGAATAGCAAAAGAGCGGCCGTGAGGATGACAATGGAGAATACTGGCATACGGACTTCAGTGAGGAAGCGACGAAGATCT